TTTTTTTTTGTTGATTTTTGAAATTTTTGGTATAGTAATTCAGATTCCCAAAAAAAATTTTTGTTTTTATTTTTAAAATTTTTTTTTTTTTTTTGGTTTTTTTTTTTTTTTTTTTTTTTTTTTTTAGTAATTGAAAAAAAAAGCAAGTTCAAACCTCGTTTATCTATGTTTCACGATATCACAAAGAAAGTAATCACTGTCCAAGAAATAAAAACGCGTGACTCTAATTAGATTGGTACAAACCCATCTTTTTGATTCGTTTTTGTTAGATGCAAGATTTTATTCATTCAACAACCCTTCGGTCAAAAAAGCCTGAGAAAGTTTTAATCGTCATAGAACAAAAATCACCGATCGCGTTATTGTGAAACTTACCCTTGTAAAAGTGACCGGTCAACTCATTTTTTAATTGAAAGACGGAGATTTATTGTTGTGCGCGTGATACCGATTAAATCCAGTTTTCATTTAACCATTACATAATTTTTACATTACAAAGTTACTATGATGCAATTGGCCGCGAGCGAATGATCAAAAAAAAAAAAGTTAGGTTTGAACTTTCTGTTGTAAAGTTCAACATCTGTTGAAATTTAATTGGTGTAACAACAATACATGCATACTTAAATGCTTTCCCCAATTCGTTTTAACAATATAAATGTGTATAAAAAAAAAACTTGTCTTTTTTTGTCTTTTCTTTGTTAGTACAATAATTCCTTTTAAGTATTCTTTTATAAGAACCTGTCAATTACAGCTTACTTTGCAGAGAATTTGCTTGCAAATTTCCATTAAAATTTCCGACGTTACAAAAGGATCATCATTCATTATGACAAATTCGGTTTAGTAACAACTTTATATAAATAAAAATTTTTACGATTTAATTTTTATTGTTCTTTTAACTAGTTTTTCTCTTGGATTTTCCAATACTGAATTCTATTCTTGAATAGATCATACTTAAAAGAAATGGTCCTAAAAGGAAAAGTGAAACCGATAAAGGTTTTCTTAATAATTCTAATGAACTATATGTATAAGAAATCTGAATATTTTTTGAATGATCATTAACCACATTAGACTTTTCAAGGACGATAAGGTATCGTCCTATTGTGTCCAAATAGGTTTTATGAACCCCATGTGTTTCTTTATCAATGACAAATGGTGTTTCTACCTTTACATTACTAAAAAGAAAAAGAAATTGGACTCGTGAAATTGAGAAGAATAAATGACGATAACAATAATGATATTGAACCTTCCTTACCTGGCCCCTTCGGGTAAGATGATTCTCACTTGTACTTTATCATGAATCGCTTGAGGAAACACGTTTACGAAAGGGATATTCAGAATATATCGACCACTTTCATAATGATATCTCACAAAATCTCCAAGTGGCACATTATATCCGTAATACCATGTATAATTCCATCCACCAAATAGAGGATACCTTGGCTTAAAATCAAAAATCGTTTTATCCTGTTCGTATCGTAAATTAGATGTTGATACGTTACCTATCTCGTCTCGATAATACACATCGGATACATGAATCGGTAAACTCAATGTTAATTCGCGTGTCATGATAGTTTCGTGATGAATATAAACGGTTTTATGATAATCGAGCCGTGAAAAATGTCCCTTTAATCTTTTGAGATTTAAATGTTAAAAAAAAAAATTTAACTTTTCAAACAAAAAATTTTTCATAAATCTCAAGTTACCTTGCTCCGTCATGAGTTAGGTTGAAATGTTCTTCGACCGCAAGATTTCCACCCCAATGACTGATTTCTAAATCGCGCCTTAATCCCGTAACGGTTAACATATTCTGTTGGAATTCATAATGAATCCTGAGTTCTTCGTAAGAGTTCGGCTTCGTTTCGTTAAACCTTCCATAATCGAGATTTTTTTGATTACGAATCACGTTACCCTTTGACTGACTGTAACTAATTATATCAGCTGAAGGGAGTCTATAAATGTAAATTATTGATCATAAACCTTTGATCATTCAATGAGTAATTGGACATGACGCGAAAATTTTAAAACTTACTTGACATTGGTTTTTTGCTGATCGGTTTGATAAGCACTGTTACCATATTGGTTACCTTGAAATAATAATTGTTGCCTTCCCGTTTGAGTAATTTCTTTGGGGTAAGGAGTTAGCAAGTGGGTAAAAGCTGTTGTTATGGTGAATTTAATCTGTTCTTGTGGATCAAGTTGACGGTTGAAAAAGATCTTATAATATCGGATCCGGCTGCACGTTGAAGTAGTATCATTTGAATGTAATAAAGGCAACTTAAATTTCTTTGAACTCCCGCATATTATTTCATTCTTTTCATTTCTTTGCATAACAAACATGTCATCAAACTGTCGTGATAATTGATTAGAATGAGATACCCACTTGAGAGGATTAATTTTTACTTTTTCAACTTCAAAAGTCTGTTTCGTCTTTCTTTCCTTCACTTCAATATACGACAAGTGATTATCCCATTGTTCTGGTATTGGAAAATAATATTCACCTATCGACTCGTTATGAATATTTTGAGCAGCTACCGAAGTGGTTTCTCGAACGATAGAACTTGTAAGGTCTATCGTGCGAAGCATATTAGTGTTCCTCCAGTGTTGAGGAACAAAGGTAACGTTAGTTGCTAACGTTTTGTATGCTAGACTGATAGTCAGCACCAAAAATGCCAAAAGCCTGCAAAACGATCGCATCTTTTATTAAGTGGTGAAAAATTTTTTTGCACTTTCAACTTTTTTTAATCATTGCTTCAGCTTATTATTTGTTGATGTTTGGTGATCTTTTGTGATGTTTTTTGAACGTGGACAGTTTTAATTGGTTAAATATAAAATAAACAACATACGTAGACAATTAGACAATGACAAATTAAGATTTCCCAAATATGGACGCCTAAAAAAAATAAAAAAAAATTAAAAAAAATATAAATTGACGTTTTTGACAGATCTATAATTAAACCATAGCTCTAGCATCAAATAAAACTTTTGAATCATGTCGATGCAAATGTTGACTGACATAGACGAAGCTTTTGCGGACGAAATGAATCTGGATAATGACGAAGAATTTGAATATGAGGATACGGACGATATTGATTTGAAAAGAAAAGGCTCAAGAAAAAAAAAAATACAAAGAAACAAAAAAAAAAAAAAAAAAAATTTCAAAAAATTTTTGTATTGTATTATTTCATTTTATTTACTTTTGTATTACATTTGTCTGTTGTCTAACATTATTATTTAAAATTTACAAGATTTTAACACGAATTTAAATATATACCTTTTTATGACATGGGATGACCTAAAAAAAGTCTCAAACGGCAAGCTCACGGAGGTTTAGTGATCGATAGTATTCTTATTATAGTAAGTCGAAATATCCAGATAAGTTTTGCATTAATCCGCGTGCCAACCACTCCTTGCATCTCGTGTAAGAAATTTTTTAGAAATTTTTTATTTATTTTTTTGTAAAAAAAAAAAAAGTTTTTATCAAAATTTGATCGGTTTAGATTGGCTAGATTTAGTTTCAATCAATTACCAATAAAAGCAAAGAACTAGAAGTTTTATAAACATTCTTTTGAAAACCTACTGTAATAAACAACGGATCTTTGCCTAAATCACCATTATCACAGTTCTGAACTTTTACCTGGGTCACCTTTTTATTTACTTTATTGATTTATTTATTTATTTATTTTACCTTTTGTACTTTTTTGTTCAAAAATGTGCATAAACAAAAAATTCAAGATATTTTTGTTATTTTTATTAAGCCGCCAATGTTATTATTATTCAACAGGGACAGGTATATTATCGTGAATTTTTTAACGAAATCCAAATCATCAATTAATGGGCTAGATTGATTGTTTAATCATAATACCTTTTTTTTCCCATTTTATTCTTTTTAAAAAAAAAAAAAAGATTGTAAACATAAACAACGGCCGTGGGAGGTTCAAGGCCGAGCCCTTTTCTCTCGGCTGATTTACACATCATTTATTTTGAACGATGATGATGTCCGATTTTCGTTTGCCCTTGGATATAATAACGGATTTTATGATTTCTAAATGTAAAATGTAAATCGATTTAACTCTATGGAAATAACAATGAAAAATGATGAATTATATGGATTTCATGTGTCCATACTGCTTTGCTTTCTTTCCCAATTATAATTAAATCGCACGAGTTTGGCGTTTGTTTAATGCCCTTCCCTCCTTTTCTTCAAGTAGTAGGAATTTTACCCTTTGGATTAGATCTTCATTTCCATTTAAAAAAATATACATGTAATTTAAATAACTTTCGTTTTTTTTTTTTTGATATCGATGAATGCGCGATTTTTTTTTTTTTTTTTTTCCATTTTTTTCCCTTGGGAATGGAAAAAAAATTTTTTTTTTTTTCCAAGATGAATCATATGGGTAAAATTTTTTTTTAGGAGAAAAATCGGCTGATGTGAGGAAAATCATGCTAGAAAGGTTTACGCGTGAATCAAAAAAAAAAAAAAGTCTTTCCAACGATACTGAAAAGAGCTTTATAATGACTCGGGGTTCTGTTCAAAAGTTACACAAAAAATACTGAAGGCAAGCATTAAAGCAAAAGCAAGGCGCGACATTTACTAATAAAAAAAATTTTTTTTTTTTAGTTCTTTGTGTTTGCCAAAAAACATTTTCCCAATAAATTCCTAAACTTTTCCGAATAATTTTGTATTCCAATCAAGATCTTTTTTTTTATATATATATATTGTAGAAAAAAAAAAAAAAAAAAAGGTATATCTGATTAATTCGTAAAAATTTCAATACTTTACCATTTACTCCCGTTCAAATTACTTATATTAACTAGATACCCGCCCTTTAACGAAGCAGTTCAGTTTCTTTTTTGTCCCAAAGGAAAAAAAATATTTGAAACTGAAAAAAAACTAGAGGCGAAGAATAAAAATGTCACGAGCAGCCGAATATGCACAGTTTCCCTATACTCCCCCGAAAACCCATCTCACATCTGCTCAACAGTCTATGCACCACCAGTTTACTCAACAACAACCAAATCAGTTCACGAGTTCTCAGGACGGTTTGCTCACTCAACAACCACCTTCTGTTACAACGAATCCACAATACACGACCTCGCATGCCTCAATTGTCACGCCTAGTTTAGGTACTCAGCAAACACGACGTTACAAGACTCAACAACATACCTCCATATCACCACCTACTCCAAATACCCCTAATCGACAGTATTCTCAGAATTCTCTCGTTCAAGCAACATTGGAGCATCCTCCCTCCCCTTTAAGCTCAAATCAATGTTTACCCACTACTAATAATGTTACCATTCCCTCAACTTTACCCGCGTCTTTACCTACCCCTCCAACCACCCTCCCTCCAGGTTTATCAAGTCCAAATTCAGGGAATACCCCGGCTTCCAATTTTGATTTGCAAGATGTTCTCGCGCAATTCGGTAATCAACCTGAACTACTTAAACTCATCCTTAAATCAAAGGTTGAGGAGGACAAGCGTAAAGCTGAGGAAGCAAAATTGCGCGTCAGAGAACTTGATTTATTGTTATTGGATCGTGATAGGCAGAAAAAAGGTTTAGAACACGCTCGTGATGTTGATGAATCAAAGAACGATGAGATTCATTCTAATCAAGATATGGATTTCGATCATGGTGAAGATTTTATTTTTTTTCCTTCCGTCATCACATTTTCGATCACGAACGATGAAAAGGTTTCACATGTGTTCAATTTATTCATTCCCCCTTTTTTTTTAGACAACTCGATCGGACCGTAAGTTCTCTCCATCATCATTATAAAAAAAACCATGTTTATGATTGACACCCCCCTTATCTTGATCTTTATTGACGTAAATTTATGTACAACCTTTATTTACCCTTTTAAGGTTCTCCACATCAGACGGATCATTAAGTTACGCGTCTTTTGGTGCTAGTTTGTCTTCTCCCGTGCAAAATCTCCCCCTCAATTCCCCGAGTACTCCTGTATCTCAATCAACGCCTCGACTTAAACCAGCACCGCGAATCAATTCGACACCTAAAGGTCAGTCGGCACCACAATTACCATTGCATTATCGTTTCGCGCCACTTAACAATCAACTGACTTCTCAGAATTCTCAAAATCAAATGCAATCTCATAATCAAGCAATCCAAAATAACCAAGAGGGTATTCTTGGATCGGCAGAAAACGAAGAAAGCAACGTCAATAATGTAACGAACAAACGTAAACGCAAACGTCGCGAAATGCTTCCTGTAACGATGATCATCGAAACCAAAGAATGTCCTTTCAAGGATGAATATTTATGGAAGAACAATGGAAACACCACCCAAAGAAAAACTGGAAACAAGAGCGTTTATTTTAAATGCTCAAATAGCAACAAGGGATGTCCAGTTAATAAGACGGTCACTGAAAAGGAAGGTGGATGGATCATTAAATATCGTGGTCATCATTTGGATGTATGCGGTAAGATTAAACGCATCGTGCAATCTTAATCAATATTCCCCGTTGGAAATCACCATCCGGTGTCGTCGTATGATCTAACCGTCACAACTTAATTCGCATTTTATATATATATATATATATATATATATATATATTTTAAAAAAAAATTATAACTTTTAATTCGGCCTTTCTTTTCTTTTTCCTTTTTCTTACCTTCCAATGTACATTTCACTTTGTTTACTTTTTTTATTTTCCCCTTTTTTCTCTTTCTCTGTAAATTTTCTTTTTTCAATTCCCCCTTTTTTTTTAACTATCGTCTTTGACGAGAATCACCTTTTGTTATGGAGTATTCAATCGAACATTGGAAACGGGCCATTTGTAAGATGAAATAACGAAAATTTTGAAAACAATTTTTTTCAAATTTTTTTTTTTTGTTCCAAATATCGCATTTAACGAAATTATAAAAACTTGATTGGAACAAAAAAAAAATAATTAAAAACAAAAAAAAACAAAAAAAAAACTTTTAATGGCCGCGAGAATATAAGCAAAAAACGTTTAAGCTCTTAAAGCAAGAGAAGAAACAAAAATTGTTTCTTTTTATTATGGGACAATTAACTTTTTTAGTACTATAAAGAACTTTGGTTGGTAGTTTATTTTTTTACTCCTTTCTTTAACTCTTTTTTTTTTTTAACATAAAAAAAAAAACAACCCTCAAAAAATTCTTTTGAAGTAATACGTATCGATTCTTAGAAGCGCGAATTTATTTTAAGAATTCTTTTATTATACATACCTTTTTCAAAAAAAAAAAAAAAAGACACCGTCTTTTAACTTTCTTTTATTCCTTCTACACCCTTATTTCGAAAATTGACGCGTCAAAATTTGACATTTGAATTTGATTTATACAACTCTAAAAATTATACATTAAAAAGGATAAAGACCGATATTTGTTTGGAACTCTTAAAAAAATTTTAATCGATACATTTTTAATTGATTTTTTGTGGTTAAAAGTGAAAGTGAAAATATAATTTTCAGGAGAGACAACAACATAATAATGATGTGATATGGTCATACGAAGTAACGCCCTTGGATAGGAAACCTTAGTAACTTTGGACTTGTGAAACAATTTCTAGTGGAACATCAAAGTTACCTCATGATAAAAGACCATCTATAGTTGTCTTTAGTTAAATAATCACCTTTTAGTTGAAACTCTAGCTATACCAATGTTTTTTTTAAAAAATTCAAAACTTTTTCTCTCGAAAAAAATTTTATAATCCTAAAATCTAAAGAATCATTAGGATTTGTGGACAAAAAAAATTTTTCGCGTTCAATTTTTTTTTGTTTGGTTATTTTGGGGAGGATCTTCCTTGGATGTTGCTGTATTTTCATGATTATGCAAAAAGAAAAAAATTTTATTTATTTAGATCTGCATACATAATATACATAATTTATGATTAAAGTTTTAGAATCTAAATTTATATCTTCATTGAAATAGAGTTTGAACCTAGATCATGACGATATTTTTGGATGACAAACTTTGATACAGCATTATGCATTCTTGGTAGTATTCTTTTCTTTTTTTACAAAGGAATGATTTAAATTGCACGAATTAAGAATGACTACAAATTTAAAATATTTAGATCTATTTTTATATATGGGAGCTTTGCAATAGAAAGGAGAGAAACTGCCAGATTTTACTTTCATATGCTAAATATGTATATAAACTCAATTTTTCATTTTCCCGGCAGTTCCCCCTTTTCATTGCAAAGGTTCATATATTCATATTATATGATCATAAATAAATATATATAGTTATATATTTATTTATTTCGTTTTGTTACCAAAAGGAAAGTTTAAGGTACTTTTATAGAAATGATTAATTAAATGTAGCATGTGTAACGTGTTTATGCATTCTTTTTGTAATGCGCCATGCTGCCATGCGCCTGCGCGTTTTTTTTTTTTTTTTTATCGTGGTGTGGGTAAAAATAACATTTCAAGTTAAAGAACAATTGTTGATAAAAATCAATTTTTTACCTGATTTTGGAAGAAATCCGTAAATCCTGGAATTAAAATAGTATACTTGTGGAATATATAGTGAACAAAACGGGTAACCTTGATTACGAAAATACGTCAGTCCAAGTTTTTTTTTTTTTTTTGAAAAAAAAAAAAAGTTTCTTGAATTACAGATGAACTAAATTCGAATTTTCATCGTCCTAAAAGTTCTTAACGTGAAAACTTTTTCGAAAAAGGTTGCCTTTTTTCGTTATGCGTTTTTGGGATGAAACGTTATGGAAATTCCCAGGGTTTGTTCCGGAAGTTTTTATTTTTTTTTTATTTTTTTTTTTTTTTCAGGGATCATGAAGAGGATGAAAAGATACAGATTTGACCCGTCCTTTTTTTGGTTTCCAACTATCGTGATTTTTTTAAAAAGAAAAAATGCTTGTCGTTGCCGTTACTCCACGGAATTAGCACCAGTCGGATATATTTGAAAGGTTGGAGGATTTAGTGCCGAAGATTTCTCCCGGATGGGATCATCATCGAGTGTCGATATCCGCTTGTCGTTTCGCTTCAACACCCTTTCCATCTTCTAATCATTGCAAGAACCCGATAAATTCATCTTCGTAATAAATAAATCGAAAAAGTCGATTTAAAAGACTGGCCTATCGGAAATTCACGTGATCGATGGCCGTTTTTGAGTACAATATTGTTTAATATATTAAATGCAAAAGGTGTTGCAGATTAATAATAATTCGGATATTGAACCATGAACGTGGGTTGTACTTAATATAAGCATAACCTTTGATTTAATTTCTTTGACCCTGTTTAACGAACTCGATACTTTTACTGTATGCAAGTTTATTGTTCTTAAGACGAGTTACAAACATGACGATCAATGTGTTCGTTTTATTCGGTAATTGAAGTTTTGTCGAAACCCCGTGGCGCAACATGACTTTATCATGGAAGTATTCATGCAATTTTTTAATCAAGGCATCTTCCTAATTAACGCGTTCTTATACTCCATTCGAAGAGTAGTATCACGCGTAATTCTTCAATTTCTTTGCAAATATTTGTTCGAGATGGTGCATGTACAGAAAATAATGGATTATGATTTAAACACATTATCAAGGTTAACATTGAATAAATTTATTAACAAACTCATTGACTTTTTGAATATAATAAACATAATTTCCCCGCCCCGAATCATTTAAAAAAAAATATTTTCTTCGGGTTGTCACGTTATTAAATATATAAATATATGAAATTCAACAATAAAAAAATGTTGCTTTTGGCGAACAAACGCCACTACCTTCACCTATAAAAAAATGTTAAACAATAAGTTCAACTTAATTAACATTATTAAAGAAATTAAAGAATTTATAAATTCTCATTTAAATCAAATAAATATCCTTTGGGTCAATAACTGACGAAGATCATCCTCTTCATCATAGTCTTCAAATTCGATCAAATCTTGTCCAATAAAGGCCAATACATGATCGTGACAACATCGAAATTCAATTAATACGTCTGTGGCTGTTTCTACCGGAAATGAAACCATGTTGGCTTGCGCTATCAATTGTCTACTTGATTTGCTTGAACGTTTCGGTTTATGATCATTTTGAGAAATACATTCTTTGTCATGACTTTTGATTCCGAGCTGCGATGATAATCTTGATAAAGAACTTTCATTTGATTGTGGGTTATTTTGAACAGTTCCACGTACTTTCGTTGTAATTTGAGCATCAAAGTGTCGAGCCGATATAACAGAAATGTCGGTTGTAACGGGTTCCCTTTCTTCCGTTTTGTACCTTTTGACTATGTGTTTTGGTGATGAAGAAGTCGTAACATCCTGCACGTTATCAGATTCCAAGAGATACTTTGATCCTTTGGCATTGCTTGAAGTTTTGGGTAAATTCTTGGATAAGTTTACCACAATAGAATTTTCCTTATCTTTTTCGTTTTTATTTCTAACATGTGCCCAAACAGACGTGGCAATGAAGCCACTTGCGACTAGAGCAGCGGTAATTTCGATATTTGCCAAAGGGGATCTAAAGTTTCTATAAAAATAAACGAATTTATTTATGTAAGTAGGGGTATCTTCCTATTGAAAATTATCTGTTTTAAGTATATTATTACTATTTAACCGTTTTCTAATATAAAGCGTTTTTTTTTTTTTTTTTTTGTTCGGTAAAAAATGAAAGTTATATATATACCTATTTATTAAAAAGTGGAGCCTTAGTGCTTGGTGTGTGAAAGAAAGAGGATTTGAAGGGAGGAGTTGATAGGAGTGACTTCTGTTGAAACAATAATATACTATTATGGCTATCGCAACACTAAAGGTTGTGAAAGACACGACCGAAAGTAAGTAAGTGTTATTAAAGTCGTGTAAGTTGTAACATTTTAAAAAATCGCGTAAAGTCATAACGAGAAACGAAGGAGAGGAGTGCAATGCCTCACTGCGGCTTGGAATAGCTGGATTAAATAAATCCTCTCACAAATTTCATTTAAACCAAATTTGGTTAATATTAATTTAAAATCTCCGTGAAGTGTATATATATATATAAATAATATATCTTTATACTTTGTGTTAAACTGAGATTTTCAAAATATTATTTTCTTTATACTCCAATGGTTTCATATCATTCACTTGAGTTTAGTCATCCAATTATTTTTAATATATTTATATTTTTTTTTTCACATTTAATAATTACCAATATTTCTATTTATATTAAAGATATTTTTTTTATAATATTTTAAATTATATAAATATATGTTAATTTTATCTTTATAATGAATAATTACCATTTAAATTATGTATTTTTTTTTTTTAGTAATCAAATTTTTGTACTTTTAATTTTTTTTTTTTTTTAATTACTTCAGCTATATCACCAATTTTTTAAATTCATTAGCATTTTTAAAAAAATCATAAAAGAAAATCTCAAATCACTTAATTATAATATGAAAATTATCAGAAATGTTTTGATAATAGTATTATCTAGCTATAATCTCTTTTTCTATAGTATTTTTATTATAATTTTTTTACTTTATAAACTAAATATGATTTTTTTAATAAAATAATTCAGATTTAACATTAACTTAAAAAAAAATTTTTTGCAAAATCTTATAATATAAGAATATAAAAATCAGATCAGTACAAATTAGCAGTATTAATTATAAAAAATATTAAGAAAGTGATATATAAAATATTTTAAATTTATTATTAATTTTATTTATATTAATATAATTGATTTTTGTCTCAGACGTCAAAAGTATTAAAATAATACATTTTTGCAATTTTTAAATGTTTCAAAAGTTAATGATTCAATTTTGCAAGAATTTAAATATTCTAAAGTCAGAAACCTTAATTTTTACATTTTTACAAATAAATTGTAGTCAAAGTTTAATAAATTCAAATATTATTTAACTGATTTAACCAATTGGCCATTTTGGTTATAAACAAAATAGCTATTGATTAAAGTTATACTAATTGAATTTTAATTACTAATTTTAGTACTGATTTATAAAATATTAGCAAAATTATCTGTTTATAAGTTAGAAGATATATTTCTAAAGAGTAATAATTTAGAACCTTTTTTAGTTTCCTTAAACTTATCTTTATAAAAATATTTATAAGTAAATAAGATAAATTATTAATAAAAAAAGATTAATTAAAGAAAAATAAGAAATATTATATTAAAAAAAAAAACTAAACTTAAAGGAAAAGAAAACTTTTAGCTGCTCTTTTAGTTATAAATATAGTTGATTTTTATATACCTCAACATTATTTTGATTAATCTGCTAATATAATAATAAATAATAAATTTAAAATTTATCATGATTATAATCTAGCAATTGTAAAAATCTATAACTAAAAAATTTAATAAAGAAAAGAATCTGTAATAAAAGAAAAGATTAATTAATCAAAAGGAAGTAAAACAGTTAAAAAAATCTTAGAACTTTTTGCATTTAAACTAATAGATAAAAAAAGAAACAAATAAACATAAAGAATATTTTATTCTATCTGAATCATAAAATACTAACAAAAATAATAATTAAAAATTAACTGTATTATACTATTAAGTTTATATAAAATAAGAAAATATTTTTAATAATTAACTTTAGATCATTAGAATATATTATTTCTCTTGTATTATTCAAAAATTTTTACATAAAATTAATAAGCTTCTAAAATAATAATAGTTAATATTAATAATATAAAAAAAGATTTTTAGGAATAATTACTAATATTACTTTTAGATTAATGAAAAAATAATCTTTATTTAATGTTTTTGATACTGAAATTAATTAATTTCTACAATACTATTATATAGGAAATGACTAGCTAGAAAAAATTAACGAAATTATTAATTACAAAAATAAAATCATAATATTATATTGAAGAGATTTTATTATTAATATTTTAATAGAATTTTATTAATAACTAACTATAAGAATTAAACCAACTAATAATAATAAAGTAAAATAAAATATATTAGAAAATAAGAAAATAGAAAAAGAAATTTTCTATATAAAAAACTTATGTTAAAATAAATAAAAAAGTTTAATAATTTTATAATTAATTATATCAATTTATTTATTTGAAAAGAAAATTAATTTGATAAAAACAAATGTAATTATTATATTTAATACAAAAAATGTATTATTAATTAAATGAAGATTCTATCATATATTATATAAAATTAAGAAATTATTAAAGAAGAGTTTAAATAATTTATAAAATCTGATCTTATATGATTTTTAAAAAGTTATGAATTTTATTTAATATTATAATTAAAAAAAAAAAATAATAAAAAATGCTTATGTATTAATTACTGTAAATTAAATAATGTTATTAAAAAAGATAATTATTTATTATTACATATTGATAATATGTTAAAAACTAAAAGAATCATTTTATTAAATCTTATTAGTGAATTTTAACAAGTTAAATTAGATCTAAAGAATAGAAATATTATTTTTATTGCTAAATTTAAAATATATGAATTTAATATCATATTTTTTAAATTTTATAATATATCTACGATTTTTAATAATTGATTAATATTATACTACATAATATTTTATGATAATATGTAATTTTTTATATTAATAATATTAATATTAGCTCTAAAGTATTTTACAACTGTAAAAGTATGATTAAAATTAAGTCTTAAAAAATGTTTCTTTTTGAATATAAATTGCTATTTTTTAAATATGTAATAAATAAAAAAGAAATTTAAACTGATTCTAATAAAGTCATTATTATAAAATTTTTTTATACCAAAAGATTTAATATAATTTAAAAAATTTATTGTCTTGGTATCTTATATTGAAGATTTATTAAAATATTATTAAACTATTAAATAAATTATTAAAAAAAATCACTTATATATTTAAACTCAATATCAATAAAAAACTTTTAAATAATTTAAAAATTGTTTAATTATCTCTATTCTTATATATTATAATTTTAACAATTCTTTTATTTTTTATATTAATGCTTCTTCTTTTGCTTTAAGATTTATTTTTTCTTAAAAGAATGAACAAAAGAAGAAAATAGATTATTATTTATACAGGTAAAATATTAAGTCTCTTAAAAGAAAATATATTATTATAAAGTAAGAATATTTAGTTATTATATATATTATAAAATATTATCATCATTATTTATATAAATACAAATTTACTATAATTACTAATTATACTATTTTAATTTATTTAAAAAATATAATAAATCTTATTAAAAAACTTTGATGTTGGCTAATAATACTTAATATTTATAATATAAAAATTATTATTTGATTTAAAAATTTATTTTAAATATAAATATACTTAGCCAAATATAATACTAATAAATCTTTAAAAATTAAATTAAAAATAAATGAATTATTTATAACAAATATTTTAACAGATAATAGATTTTGATTTAACTCAATAAGAACTCAGATATATATTTTTCATTAGTATACTATTTAATAAAACTTAAAATACTAACCAATTTAAATCAATAATAACAAGTAGCAATTAAAAGAAAGTTAATATATTTTATAGTAATAAAAGGATAACTTTGAATATATTATAAATGCAAATTATTTTTTTCTTATTAGATTTACCTATAAGAAAGATTTTAGTATTATAGCAAATCCTATAAAAAATTTGCATACGTTTTTTCATTATTATAAATAAGTTTTGTATACGTTTTTTAAAATTCTGTATCACAT